ACATTTCATAAATGCTGGATGAAACAAAGTTAAATAGCCTGGCTCCCACTCCAGCCCCCAACACAAGCAGAGACTGACTGGGAAGAAGCAAAAACATCCTCAGAAGGCAGCCAGGGATGAGGCCGGGCAGGGGCTGAAGCAGGGACCAGGCCAGTGTGCTACTCCCCTGGATCATTTTGGGCAGGAGCTTCTGGTCTTTTTTACCATTGACTGGTGAGCTGCCCCCCAGAGTCCTTGCCTGCAGCACGTGCTGCTAATGTCCCCTTCCCAGATCCCTGTTACTGACTGCTGCCCACCCCCACACACCTGCTGTGAAGACTGGCTGCTGAGGAAACACACCTGCCCTTCTCCCAGAGAACCACCCTCCGACGGCAGGAGATGCCTGAGAGGTGGTGCCCCATCCTCTTCCTCTCACCTCCTGGGGTTGCCAGACAAAACACAGGATGCCCAGCTAAATTTAATTTCAGACAATGAACACTTTCTTAGCATAAGGATATCCTATTCACTGTTTATCTGAAACTCAAACTGGGCAACTGTATTTGCTAAATCTGGCAATCCTACAGCTGGCAGTCAATGACTGGGGGTGGGAGGGTGGGGCGGGTATGATGAAGGCTTGGCCCCCTTGCCTGCAAGGCTGGAAGATTGCTGGTGTCATTTATGTCCAGGGCTCTGTGTGGGATCAGCCTGAGGCTGGCCTTCAGCTGAACCCACATCTTTGCTTAGCTCCTTCCCCGGCCCATCCTGCTTTCCTCCTCCCTTGCAGGTTTCCCATGAGAGCTGCCCCCAGTCAATTACTTCCACGAGGATCCCTGTCTCAGGCTCAGCCTCTGGGGACTCAAAAACATGCCTACTTTTCAATTTCCTGTTTGGAGAGGATACTCAGGGTTGCCTCAAAGAGCAACTTCTGGCCTTGTCATCCATCCCATGGGTTCTGGGACTTCTCGCCACCTTAGACAAAGAATTTACCCTCTCTAAACTCCTTTTTTTTTTTCATCTGTGAAAGGCAATAATGTGACATTGCAGGGTAGCTGGGATAATGTGAGCAAGTGCTCTGGCACTTGGCAAGTCTCCCTAAATGGAAACAACAGCCGTCATTCCATAGCTTTTAGCTTCTGGTCATTTTCACTCCCTTTGTCCTATCTTCTCAATCTTCTTACATGAGTGGATATGATTCCCATGAGTCTGATGGAGATTTGTGGCTGTAATCCTACTTGGACCTCTCTCTTGCCCTTTCTTCCCAAGCGAAAGCACCTCAGTTTTAGCAAAAGCCATTTGGCACCAGTTCACAAGGGGGTGGGGGGGAAGCTCAACACAGCAGTGGGGAGGAAGTGTGGACTCAACTCTTTCTTGGCTGCCATAGCTTCCAGGACCATAAAATACTCGCCGATCTGCCCCAGCAACTTTGCTCTGAAATGTCAGAAACACAGTGTCTGGAATGGCCATCTTGAGCCAAATGACTCCACCAATGCAATGCTGAGCAACTTTTATAAAAACTGAGGCAGGTTTGTGTGTTATGTTTTAGAGTGATGTTAAGATATATTCTTAAGAGGGGCGCCTGGGTGGCTCAGTCATTAAGCATCTGCCTTCAGCTCAGGTCATGATCCCAGGTCCAGGGATCAAGCCCCGCATCAAGCCCCACATGGGGCTCCCCTCTCAGCGGGGAGTCTGCTTCTCCCTCTCCCTCTGCCTGCTGCTCCCCCCCCACTTCTGCTCGCTCTCTCTGTCAAATAAATAAAATCTTAAAAAAAAAAAAAAGAAATATTGTTAAGAAGGGAAAGTGCCCCTGCCGTATCTCTGGAAGGACACTTAAGAAACTCCTACCCGTGGATGCCCCTGGGGAGAAAGGCTGGCTGGATAAGGGGTGGGAGGGAGACTGACTTTACATTGTTTATCCCTTTATACTATCTGAAATGTAGGCCACATGCCAACAGTATCTATTAAGAAAATAGATACAATTTAACTAAAAAACTACTGTAGTGATCATTCAAAGGTATCTCTTTTATTCTAAACTCTGAATTAATGAGGCAACACAGAAAATTCAGGCAGCTTGGAAGGCACTTCATTTTCAGGGTTTGGTGCAGAAAAGTGAAAATTATCCAAGTTCTTTGAAGTCTAAAATACATGAGCTGCTCTGGTTTTTCTGGGCTGCAGCCTGGCAGGATGGGTTTGCCAGGTGGCTGGTTTTGGGAACCCTCTCCCACTACAGAGTGTTTCCTGAGCCAGATACTTTACACCAACTATTTTTTCCTCACAACTCTGAGGTAGATGCTACTAATCTCTCCAGGTGACAGATGAGGAGGATGAATAAGTGGCAGAGGCTGTATCTGGAGTGAGTTTTGGCAGTTTCTGAAATCCAACCTCTTTTAAGAAAGAAAATGCCACTGTCTGTGGGGTCTGTGTTGATCTCCTCTACCTCTCCCCCAATCTGGAACAAGTCCTGTCTCCTCTGAGGAGAGAAGGAAGGGAAGCAGAGCTGCAGAACCGGAGAACATGACTATAGCCAAGGACTGAAGTTGCAGGAAACAGCAGAAAGTGGAATTTTGAGAAAAGACATGAGAAGGTCCCAGCTGACTCTGGCTCCTGCATGCCTGTGCATGGCAACATCTGCCCCCAACCCAGGCAGAATCAGCACACCCATCTACGAACTACTGCATTCACTAACTGTGTGTTGAGTGCCAGGCACTGGAGTGCAATGGTGAGCCAACACAGACAAGGCCCCCATGCTCATGGGGCTTACACTCAAGTTTTGGCAGCCCCAGCCCCTCTCCCATACACACCCCTGACGGATGCCACACAACTGCTGGTAGTATGGTGCAGTATGGAGAGCACCATCTAGAGTCAGGCCGCCTGCTCCACCACTTACAACTGTGTGATCTTGGGCAAGTAACAGCCTCTTGGGCCTCAGTCTCCACCCCTGTAAGATGGGGATGATCATAGTAATAGCTACCTTAGGATTGTGTGAGAGTTCCACGAGATAACATACGAAAAAATTTTGTTCATGGCGCCTGGCCCAAAGAAAGTACTTGATAAATATTAGCTGCTATTACTACTGCTACTACTACTACTACTACTGCTGCTGCTGCTACTACTACTATTATTATTATATACAAACACTACCTGTTTCACGAATACAGGGCCGTATCTTCTTGCTCTCCGCTGAGTTCCCAGTACCTAGCACATAATTGGGACTTAGCATTAATAAATGCATAGATGAAACCTGGCTTACATTTGAAAATACGCCATTCTGGATCTTATGTCAACCCAGATAGATAACCTACTATGTGCTGGGAGCCACAACGGGCATTAAGAGTGGCTCCCGTCCTTGGGGTGCTTGACAGAAGATGCTCAGCAGAAGAGATGCTAGATATAAAGTTGAATGAATGAATGCATGGATAAATGAATGACTATGAAAGCGAGCTCCTGTGCCGAATAAACACGTCCGGAGCCCCGTACCCCATATACACATTCGCTCACAGAGCTTTCTGTGGAGTGGGCACCAGGGGGCACTGAGCTCGGCCAGTGTCAGCTCCTGATCAGGATTCACGCCCAGGTTCTTAGGCGGACGCCGCGCGGTGACGTCATATCCGCCCATAGACGTCACGCTTCCGGGGGGGGGCGAAACAGACAGGAGCCAAACGTAAGTAACCCCGGAGTTTTCTGGGCCCGGGATCTGGCCTTTGCGGGGGAACGCCAAGCTTTGGCGGATTCTTGCAGTGAACAGGAGTCAGGGAGGCGCCAGGTTAGTGCGACCGAAAGCAGGTAAGCGGAAGCCCATAACAGAGCGGCTTTTGCCGGGAGTGAGCTCAGTCGGCCACGCTGATGACGCATGGCCTGCGCGCCAGGTGCGCATGCGCAAGGTGGGAGTTACGACGGGCGGCGTGCGGCTGTCTGAGGTACCAATCCTTTCCGGCCCAGGACGCCGCGGGCGGCCGGCGAGGCCCGGACGCGCACCTCCGCGGACACCTGTACTACGGGGTCTCGGTAGCACATGGTGGCTGCGAGGAGTGAGCGGGACCACTTGTGCAGAGCGCATGCGCCCGGCGCGAGGTGGGCGCTAAGTAAATGGGGGACGTTAGTCAAAAAAAAGTTGAAAACAACTGAAGTACCCAATAGTAGGGGACTGGGCTTTTTTTTTTTTAATGATTGATTTGTCCCAAAACTTACATGTTGAATGTATACTGTGTGCACTTTCAGATTCCTAGGAAACAGCGAACAAGCTAGAACCCCGTTTCTTGCAGAGTGTACATTCTGTTGTGGTGGGGGAGGGAAGTACAAATAGAGAATAAATGAATTACGTAGTTGTGTTAGAAGGTGGTAAGTGCTATGGGGAAAAACTAGAACAGGGGCATGGAGGGGCTGCCGTATTAGATAGAACAGCCACCGGACCAAATCGAGGGGTGAGAGTTGATCAAAGCCATGAAGCTACCTGGAGGAAGAATATTCCCAACATGCGGAAAAGCTAGGAGCGAGGCGCAGAGACGGGAGGGAAACGGTGTGGGAGGAAGAGCTAGGAGGAGTCTGGTGGAGGGAGTTGAGCAAGGGAGCATGGTCAGAGCTGTTGGAGGCAGCGGTACAATTCAGGTAAGGCTTGCAGGGCTGGTAAGTCCTTTGTGTTTACTCTGAGTAAAACGGGAACCATTGCAAGGTTTTGAGCAGAGGAGTGGTGGGGCTTGAATAGGTTTTAACTGGCTCGCTCTGGCTGCTGTAGAGAATAGATTGGGGGGTGGCGGGTGGGGAGCAGGTGGAAGCAGGCACACCTATTACTAATAGGTCACTTAATGAGCATCCCTGCAGCCATTACAAAGGCTGGCTTTAAAGATGATAATAAGAGCTAGGGAAGTGCTTTCATTGTTGTGGTGAGCCTGGCTGATTTGCCAGGCTGTACGAAGGGTACCCAGGCATCCTCTCCTTTAATCTCGGGACAGCCTGCAGAGGGCAATACTGTCATTGCCTCTGAGGCTGAGGCCTATGTGGCGGTGACTGCTCAGTAAACACTTGATCCTTAAGTCTTTTTTGGTAAAATATACCTAACATGAAATTTACCATTTTTAAGGGTACAGCCTATTGATGTAAAGTATATTAACACTGTTATGAAACCATTATCACTATCCATTTCCAGAATACCCCTTAAGTCTTCATTGTTATTGGCGTCCTGAGCCCCAGGCACAATCTCATTCCCCTAGCTCAAGCAGCCAACTCCATCAAGGCTGATGGTAACTCTTAAAAAACACCTATCATGTGCCAGACAATGAATGAAGTGATTGAGGGTCCTATTCTCCCTGCCCTTCTAGTCAGGGACAACTGTAATGATTGGGAAAGAATCATCAGGTGATTATTTCTGCAGTCTTGAACATATAGGCCTAATACTTCTCACCATTCAGTAAGTGTTTATTGAATACATACTCTGTGCCAGACACAGTAACTATTCGTGTTTTTAAGTGGATGCTTGGATGTAGCTCCTTGACCCTAACTTCTCATTTTCTCTGAGGGCATCATCTAGGAGTGCTTGGAACTGGACCTGACGCAGAGGTTTTTGTAAATGCCAGTTTATAGCTATGTGACCTTGGCTAATTCCCTTTCCTTGGTTGGACCTCAGTTTTCTGGTTCCTTTAGTGGGGAACCAGATATTGAACAAATAGTATTAAGAGATTGCATAACAAGTGAATCTAATTTAGAACAATGTGTTCAAAAGGCTTTCTTGAAGAGATGAAATTCCTAGGAGAGGTGAGCTTTAAGCTAAAATTCAAAGGATGAATAGGGGCTATCCAAAGGAAGAGTGACGTAGGAGAGGAGCCGATGACGGATTCTCCCCAGGGGGATCAGCATGTTGTGAATTCTTGAAGGATCCAGGTCTATTAGAAATGACATTGAGTGCCCATTCCAGGAATTTCTCTTCTCAAACCCCTTGCTGTTTAAGCTCGGTCTTTGGCTTGGGGGGGGGGTTACTATCAAATAGCTCTGTATAGATGTGGCCTTCAGAGAACAGGTAGGTCCAGCATGGGATGGGACAGCAGAACTACCACTCCTCATTCTGTTCATGTTCTGTGTTGACTGAGAGTAAACAAGAAGATCTTGCATTTTATTCCTGTATGCTATTTTTTTTTTAAAGATTTTATTTATTTCGCTGTCAGAGAGAGAGAGCACAAGCAGGGGGAGTGGTAGGCAGAGGGAGAAGCAGCTCCGGGCTGAGCAAGGAGCCCAGTGCAGGGCTCAGTCTCAGGACCTTGGGATCATGACGTGAGCCTAAGGCAGATGCTTAACTGACTGAGCCACCCAGGCGCCCCCCCCCTTTTTTTTTAAATTAGGAAGCATCATACCAGAGTGGTCTGGAGGGGCTCAGGAGTGGTTGGAATCTGTGTGCCCTTGGGCAAGTGTTACCTCTCTGCCAAGCCTCAATGTCCTCTTCTTAAAAATGGAGGGGAAAAAGTGGGAATAATAATAGCTTTTACTTCATGGGATCATTTTGAAGACTTATGACCTAAGGCATGTGGGGCATTTAGCACAGAGCCAGGTACTTAGTAGGGAAAAATGTCCATTGGGTTTATGTTATTAGAATTTAAGAGTACAACAGTCTGGCATATATAAAATCTAGAAACTTTCTTTGTGTCTGTATGGGTAAATTTGGTTTGACCAGAAATAAATGAATTACTATACTAGGAGTTCTTTTAAAAATCAAATGGGTCAAAAAAAGAAAAAAAGAAAAGCAAGGGGTGCCTGGCTGGTTCAGTCAGAGAAGCATGTGACTTGATCTCAGGGTCATGAGCTCAAGCCCCACGTTGGGTGTAGAGATTACTTAAATAAATAAATAAACTTGAGGGGCGCCAAGGTGGCTCA